CCATGTGGGTGCAGGGCCCAAGCACTGAGCATCCTCCACTGCCTTCCCGGGCACAGCAGAGAGCTGGACTGGAAGAGGAGCAACCGGGACTAGAACCCAGTGCCCATATGGGATGCTGGCGCCACAGGCAGAAGATTAACCAAGTGAGCCAGGGCGCCGGCCCCACCATGCCTTCTCTTTAATCTCCCTGAATGTGGGGAATCTTCCCTTAAAGACAGGATGAGGCCCCTCCAGAGACATGACCCCAGTGTCCTTTCTCTTGAGACCAGATATAATATCAGATTCTTCTGGAGAAACCTCATGCCTGCGTCCAGATACCTGGGACAAGAAAAATAATTAAGAATTTAAAGGAATTTCAGACACACGGGCATAGATAATGCTGCTTTCAGTCACCCGGTAAAGACTGAATATTTGAGGCAACAGAGGAGAAAGGATTGAGAGGAATAGGTTTTAGTAAACCTACAAGTTGGACAGAGAGGACCAAAGATCCTCTATGGTGATTTCATCATTCTAAGAGATTGTTGTGGTTTGTAAAAACGTTTAAATATTAAAATAATTTTACATTTACACAAATATTACAAAAATTGTAGAGTTCCCTCTACTTTCACTCTGTTTCCCATTACGTTAACTGTGGGGAGCATCCGGACTGGACTAAGTTACTGGAATTAAGACTTATTCTATGTATCTGCTCTCCCACAATATGGCGCTGGGAGAGAAGTAAACCGCTTCCGCACAGCTGCCTCCAGTTCAACTAATAAACTGTAGGACTTGCTCCTGATTGGAGGAGAGCAGCATACTCGGCGTGTGGGCAGCCGAGTTAAGATTGGCAGAGGAGGACTATAAAGGAGGAGAGAGATGGCATGCACCGGGAACATCTAAGGGGAATACCTGTGCAGCCCCCGAGAGAGCCGGCCGGCGGTGTGCCGCTCCCCTGCGGAAGTGGGGAAAGTGGCCAGGGGGAACCGCCCTTCCACGGAGGTGGAAGGGACAGTAGCCAACCCGGGAAGAACCAGCAGCAAACCCGGGGAGGGCCGAGCAGACGAAAGAACAGCGCAGGGTCCTGTGTCGTTCCTCCATGAAGAGGGGGAGCGACAATTGCTTACGCTGTCAATCTCATATCTTTGAACTCTTCCCAGGAAGACACCGCCAGGAGCAGAGGACATGTCTGGGCTCCCTTGCCACTGCCGTATGAGCGGCACGACCCGCAGGTGCCCATGGAAATGAGGGTGGGTCACAGACGCACCCAGCATGCGAGGCCTCCTCCGTGTCACCCCGGCAGGAGAGGGCGGTGTCCGAGGTCAGGGACCACAGTGCGATGTGGCTCGCATCATTTCATTTAGTTCCGTTTGGCCAGCATTTGCGGCCTGCTCTCCCCGTGTGAGCCCCCGTGCTGTGGGGGAGCCCCCTCCCTGAGACCAGGCAGGGGAAGCAGCAGGAGTGACCGCGTGCCTCCTCCCCTCCCGGGGAACTCGCTGGGGCCTTTCCACGCCAATGGTTTGTGTCTTTTAAAATTTTTATTTGTTTCTTTAACAGGCAGAAAGA